TTGCAAAAGTTGGCGAATTTTTATTTCCAAAACTTTGTTTGAATATGTATGTGAGTTGAATATGTCAATTGATCTTAGACCGTTTTCTACATCATAAATCACTTTGTTACAATTTACCTTCATCTTTACAAAAAAAATGATTACCATTTTGAAGTCAATCCATTTTAATGCAATCTAGTTCTGTCAGTGCCAAGATTGCCATTCTAAGCTTAATTTGAAGAAGTAAATATCAGAGATGATGTTATTAAATTTGCTAACCATATGTTAAAGACATTACACCTACTTTTAGGGGTGCAGCCAGCCTCTACTCCCGTAGGCCCGGCCTACAATTGTTTTCTGCCCCCTTGACATTTACTAAAAGATAATATGATTCTTGCAAATGTTGAAACAAAAATTGAAATTTGTGAGGGAAGAGGCTGACATTTAGTCAAAAAGCTGGCTACAACCCTGTTTTCAATCAAACGAGTCTGGCAAATTTTTGTCCGTTTTACCAAACACTTCTCCGTTCGTTTTAAAGAACGACGACTGAGAGGCTAAAAATTGTCCATGTAATCTAAACTAGGAGAGAGGGACGCAGAGTTCACTATAATTAAAGTTTCCATAAGTGTGACTTTTGTTGTATGTGACATGGAATTTGTTGTTTCTAGTACGACAATATTTATGCCTATAAATGAGAGAAGCAGTTAACGTAAACCATGTAATCCTCAATGGGAATTATTTTGGTGAAAAGGCTCATTAATTAATGTAAACCTAATGCGTAGTTGAAAACGTTCAGGGCTTCAGGATAAAACTTCTAATTGTTGAAAATCACCTCTTGGAATTTTTTCATCGCTTTAAATTTACCTCAGCATGATTTGAGGATGACTGATAATATGCGTGGTTGAATATAATGTAACTAGGATTTTAAAGACATGCTGGGACAGTTTCAACTAAACATGGTTTGTGTCATGTCAGTGTATTTCATGTGAAGTGTTTTGATGCTATTTTTTTAAGTTGAAGATAATTGTTCATTTACCTTAGTTTATATTAATTAACTCATGAACTCCCAAGTTCTGAAGAAAAATTCTCCCAACTGATAAGAATGTGTTTCTCTTTGCTGCCACTTGTTCCGAGAATTCGATGTAACACTATGTTTCTAGTAAAAGATTATCCTCCAGTTTGGATTTTCTCTAATTGTTAATGACTCCATGTTTGTCGGTGTATTAATACCGTGAGGAGAATTCAAATTATGATCAGTCTTGGGAGTAAATGGGTTCATTTTAGCGTCTCCGTTTAGGGCGTATTTTACTTAATGCCTTGAACGATTTAGTGCAGTTTCTATTGTGCTTATTTTTTTACTTCTTTGTGTAAGAGAAATATACAGTGTATAAAATACAAAAACTGCGTTGATTTACATTGTCTGTCTCCATATTCTTAGGATACACGTAAGATGTAGAGAAAGCAGATCCTATGGGGACTTCAATACTTGTTTTGACCCGCGCACCAAGTTGATAATGTGTGCAGCTAACAGTGTACTAACATACCATGTTTCAAGCCCCCGCCCACTTAGCAAAAGCGCGTCATCTCTTCGATTGTGTCTCTTTCATTGTCTATCGTTCTCCGTATTGCCACACTGTTTTGAACGCCGACGGACGTGTTCATATTGTTACATGTCTGCGCCTTTTTTTATCTTTTTCCTCACACAAGTTTTTACACCTTTTCACATTTGCGCATCCCTTTTTTTTTTCTCCTTCCGCTGGTTCCTTCCATCTTATTTTCCATTGCAATTTTACTTAATTCCCATCTTTACGCGCACCTCTTTTATCGCCCTCAACTTTATTCTTCTGCGCGCTTCATAGGACGCGACTATCTCCTTGTCTGTTTTAGTTTTCACTCGTCTAGATCTTCCTGCAACGTCAGGCTTCTTACAACTCATATACCTCGTTACTCCCCCATAGTAGTTGTTATCATGTGTATTATGTCCACTTTGGGATGGTGTCCTCTTAAAGTCATCTCTAGTGAAATCTCAGTTTTCCTTTCGATTGATTCCTAGTCCACAGGGTGCCAGTACTTGCTCTCCTCAGTCCTCTCATCATAATAGCAGTTATAAAGCGGAAGAGCTCCTTCCAAGTCTCGGCGACATAATCGGTGCATTTTGTTGGAAACGAGTCCCTCAATGTCCAAATGAAGGCCTCTTCTATCATCTGATTGGGAATGGGTCAAACTCTCGCCCAGGGTCCATCTACAATGCGAATCCAAGATGGTGGCAGGCCAATCCACAGCCGGACTCTACCGAGTCGGTAGCCGCCATCTCGGATGTAGACGCAGAGAAGAGGTAGACGCAGAGAAGACCCTGAAGAAGAGTTTTGACAAAACAATAATTGAAAAAGGATAAGTTACAATAGTGCTTACAGTGATAGCCGATGACAACTTGAGAGATTCATTATGAGCAAACATGTTTCGTCGATTATTAAACTCCATGTCTCCTCGAATACGCACTCCTATATGCCCCTCTTCCCCGTCCCTATACATCCCTGTACTGCAAGTTTTATCATCATACAGCACAATACAACATTATGCCCCTGAGTAGCACTGTAAATCCGTAAAATGCAGTAACTAGACAACGCTTCACAACAATATGAACCCCAAGATAGCTCTATGCTTCCCTCTACTGAATTTTAAATCACCATACAGCGCTATATAAACATTTGCTCCAATTTTGCGCCAAAATAAGTGCAAATATTTGTCCGCGGTCATTTTCTCGAATTTTCTGTTCCAAGATGCGGAAACTGTGAGCTTCGAGGAATAGATAATATCAAAGGACAAATATCCGTTCATATTTTCGCGCAAAATAGACGCTATTGCGTTTTTTATCCTTCAAATATTTTGCAACGCATATGAAAAATGTTAATGAACAGCTTACTGGATTGAATTAAGAAAAGGTTAAGTTTCTAAAAAAAACTGTGGTGCTGCGTCGGTGGGAGAGTATAACATGGTAATTTAGTATTATCAACTGAGTTGATAACGTAAATTGGCCACCGCAATGAGTTTAAAAACTGACGTTTCGAGCGTGAGCCCTTCGTCAGAGTGATTGCAAAGGGCAAACGCTCGAAACGTGAGCTTTTAAACTCTTTACGGTGGGCAATTTACGTTATCGATTCAGTTAATAATACCTAATTACCCTGAATTGCATTAATTTTGAGATGAAGACTTATCATGGTGTACACAAGGTCTGCAAATTGGGGAATATCGTTTAGGTGATATACTCGGATACACCTAGTTTTAGACGGGGGATATTTTGTCACTTACTGCGTTTAGACTAATCGCGCGCGAGCAAAATTATTTGATGGATCATAAGCAATATTATAACATAGCTAATAAATTTGTCTTATTAAATTCAATTGCGCGAGCGTGCTTCATATTCCTATTGTGCACGCTCAGGACGTCAGCAAACAAATCCCGCGAGAAAAAAATTTTCCATCGGGTTGAAAATGTTATAAAACAATTGGTTCATACGTCATCTGTGCGTTCATCGAGATATGAAGCACGCGGCAAGTTTGGAGAGCACGAAAGATGCGTAAGAGTTGCTCGAGGCATTTCTCTATATCCTATTGCATAGGATATAGAGAAACAACAGGTGGCACCTTTTAAAGGACATTAAACACGTTATCATGAGTCCGCAAATTCTTTAGGCAACAATACTCGTTAACAATTTATAAACATCGGTCGCAGTTGCAAACGTTTACGCGTTATATTTGAGGTGATTTAGACAGTAAAAATAATGTCAGCTAATATAGACAGCTACTGATCCTTTTTGTAAACTTGTAAATAATTGTTCTCAGTTTCCCAGAAAATGCTCTTTTTTCCTTCTCATTTTTTAAATGATATATATAAACGTTTGAATGTTACATCTGGTGAAAAATAATTTTAAAAAATGAATAGGATAAAAACCTTAAGTACAAATGTAAATTAATTTCAAGTTTACTATAATAACGTTGGGCCGAACGGAATATCACGATATTTGTTTCCAAAATTAAATGTTCGAAAGCAGCCCATTGCTATCATAGCCTGCGACACGTAAGGTCAGTGGACAACCTAGTTCCCAGCTTCCTCTCTCTTTCTCTCCTCTCAAAATAGCGGTCATCATTCGTTGCTCAGAGTGGGAGAGTGACGAGCAACTGAAGAGCGACCTTTAGCGCTATGTGTTAGCAAACTATTCCAGGCAGGAGATACTGGATTTTGCAAGTCGGGACGTCCCTGAGTATGCCTTGAGTCTGCCTACACTTAGCAGAAGATTACATTTTTTCGGAATCAAACACGTTCGGTACGAAACCAACGTTGAAGATGTGAAGAAAGCAATCGAAGAGGAAATGGAGGGTCCAGGGCAGTATCTAGGGTATCGAGCAATGCAGAGAAAAATACGAGAGCAACATAAATTGGCTGTCCCTCGCAATCTGGTCCATGATGTTATGGGTATGGTGGACCCCGAAGGACTGACTAGGCGAGGGAATGTTGGTCAAAAAAAACGACAAAGAGGAGCTACTGGAACGTTCATATCATTGGTAAGTTCTCCCACCTTTTTGTGGCAGGTGCCCAAATATGTAAAATTCTTTGAAGCATTTCCCCTGATCCCTTAGAGTAAGCCGTTGCAAAGTAGAGTAAATATATGGGATCACATGGCATGTTATGGCAACCTACCTCGAACCATCCAACTTGTCTGCCTGTGCTTTTATCATGAATTTCAAACTAGTGTAACATGTTTTTAGACAT